AGAGAGAGAGAGAGAGAGAGAGAGAGAGAGAGAGAGAGAGAGAGAGAGTTCTTCTTCTTCCTCTTCTAAGTCCACCACCTCTCCCTCACCCTCTCACTACCTGACTTTTCAGTATCTGCAGACTACGAGAGAGAGAGAGATTGGTGACTTTGGGACTTGACGACATTTGGATTCAGACTCGACATTGGGATTGAGACATTGGACGAGGGATTATTTGGGACCTGTACCGAAGACTTGGTGTTGACGACATTCCCATCTTCCCCTCTTCTTCGTCTGTGTATGTTTGGGACTGGCGCATTCTTCCTGTGTAAGCGCCAGGTCCCTTCACGCCATGCGATGATGATGATGTATGCTTGGTCTGCATTGCGACATTGATTGGTCGGATCATTGGTATATTAGGCTTCCGCTGAGCTATCTTGTACTATGTAAGAGAGGTCGGTTCTTGTTCTGGTCTGCAACTTTACGGTATGCGACAATAACAAATAAACAGTAGTAAAAAAAATAGGCTCGAAGAGTGTGATTACTGTTGGAACATATGTACAGGTGTCTGATAATTCAGGTGCAAAAATCGTACAGTGTATCAAAATCCTGCATCCTGGATTCGGGCGGGAGGGGGGAAATAAAATACGAATGGTGAAAAGGGAAAAGGGATATAGCCTTTAGAGGGAAACCCAGGAGTTGGGCCTAGGGGACTAGGGGTATGAATGGAGGTTGATAGGTAGTATGATCTTGAGGAGATGGGTTAGGAAAAGAGAAGGACGGTACTTGTGAAATCTGGGCAGTCTCATACGGCGAAAGAGGTGAATGTAGACAATGGGCGATACAGTAGGTGACTAGGTGCAAAGAGCATGAGGGCTAGAGAATGGTAACACAGATAGGTGGCCCCGGGGCTGGAGGCGCAGCTGGGTGGTCCTAGTCTGCCCTCCCGAGACACGCGAAGTGTGTGGCAGGGTACCGAGCTTTGGTTCCCCATTCACTTTGCGGCCCCGGGTAGGGAAAGTTAAACATGCGCCACAGATCTGCCCTCCTCTGTACAGTGGCTAGGGCAGATGGAGTAGGGGGTATTGCTTTTCTTTCTTGCCTCCATTTCTGAACTCGTGCTTGTCGGTGATAAGTAGCCGGACTGATGCCCCCCAGAATTGATTGGGCCCGGGGCATTATATTATACAAGAGGATGCCCGCCGCGACTGCAGCGGGGACCAAGAGCAGGGGAACCAAACACACACACACACACACACACACACACACACACACACACACACACATTGCAATAAATCTTCCCATGTTGTAGCGAAAGATTCATTCCGATTTGTTGTAGCGGGAGATTCATTCGATTTTGCTCCTCTCGGTGGAAGTACCATGAGGTTAGCCGCGAGATTGGGAACTTACCTGTTCTCTCTCTCTCTCTCTCTCTCTCTCTCTCTCTCTCTCTCTCTCTCTCTCTCTCTCTCTCTCTCTCTCTCTCTCTCTCTCTCTC